CTCTCTCTCTCTCTGTTTCTTTGGGCAAGCGACAGGCGAACTCGGAGGCATTGGGTGGCGGCGTGGCTGTAAATGTTGGGTGCTGGCAGTGGCGTTAGTGCGGCGTCTGATGGTGCGCGCGACGTGGCTGGACGGGGTGAGCGCAGATCGGGTTTTTTGAGAGGGGAAGAAATTACATTAGGAATTTAGGTTTTTTTGAGGGGATAATATTGTGTTAGTTCGACACACTAAATGAAATTTTGATAACATGTGTTAGAAAGTGAATTACGTCCAGTAAATGAGATTGTGGTTAGGTGTTGATTTATGTTCTTTTGTCCTATTTGTTTGAATAAATATACTACATTATGTTAAACACTTAGCATTACTCAAATGTAGGGGCGATGTTCAATGAAGATAATTCTGCTCCCTTGAAAATTTATTTTGGTGGGGGTGATGAGGCATAAACCCCATAGAGAATATTTAGGGGGAGAATATGACTATTTTGATTTTGTTGATATGGATAAAGTAAGTATGTTGGAAATGTTGGGATATTCAGAGCAATTAGGATATAAAGAAGCAAATAGTGTTAGATATTGGATGAAGTACGGTAACAACTTTGATAGACAATGCAAGTGTTTGGAAAGTGATAGGGATATTTTGTGGATGGCAAAACATATTCCAGATAATTATGAACTCGAAATATACTTGGAATATCTGGATATCGCGCTTAGCTAAGATCCTCAGTCTAATGTAATTAGTGGAATAGAGGATTTAGGTGGTGAAGTTCCTCGGGCTGGTGATTGTGTGGAAGGTGAAATAGAAGAAAACAATCTGATTTTTGGTGATTCAGATAATAAATTTGAGTTAGAGAGTGGGGTTGACATAGAAGGTAAGATGAAAGGAAAATTTATTGTGGATGATTCCACAATTTCTGAAGATATTTTGAACACTTTACAAAAGGAAGATGGTGAGACAGGTGTCATGGATAGTGATATTAAGTTAAATAGTGGAATGGAAAGTGATTGAAGTGAAATGAGAGGACAACCCAGTTTGAAATAAATAATTCAAACACAGCTGTTGAAAATTTGTAGCTGAAATTTGGGTTGTTGTTTAAGTCGAGGGCTGAGGCTAAGTTTGCCATTGAAAGCCATTGTTTTAGGAGGGGGGATGGGTGTGAAATTTCCAGAGATTGACAAGAATAGGTTGAGAGCTACATGCAAGAAACAGAGGTGTGGGTGGTTTGTGCTCGTGTCCAAGGTGCAGGGTGATGAAGCATGGCAATTGCGTAGCATGAATGAAATTCATAGAAAATGTGGATGAACTTATGATAACACAAGTATTAAGTCTTCTTGGATTGGAAAAAAATTTATGAAAAAGTTAAAGGAGAATCTGAAGTTCGATCTTGGAGCGTTTGGGGATGAAATATGTAGAACATTAAGGTGTAAGTTCTCAATGTCAAAAGGCATATAGAGCTAGGAGCAAAGCTTTAGACTTGTTGCACAAGTCTAATGTGGAGCAGTATGGTTTGTTGTGGGATTACTGTAGTGAGATTGAGAGATGTGATGCAGACACTTTTCACTCTTTGAAACTTATAGATGATAAAGAATCTGAATTGCAAAGGTTTCAAATGATATATTTGTTTTTCTGTATACAAGAAAGAGTTTCTTGAAGGATGCAAGCCGGTTGTAGGTGTTGATGGATGTTTGCTTAAGGATAGCTTTAGAGTACAGTTGTTAAGTGATACGGGTATTGATTCGAACAAAAATATTTTTTCTATAGCATACGCTGTGATTGAGATTGAGAACATGGACAGTTGGTTGTGGTTTTTGGAGCGGTTGAAGAGGGATTTGGATATTGAAGATGGACATAATTGGACGCTTATGAGTGATAAGCAGAAGAGATTGATTCCTGCTTTCCAATCCATTATGCCCTAGGCTGAGAATCGTTTTTGTTTGAGACATTTGTATACAAACATAAAACGTGATGGGCATATAGGCACAACAACTAAAGCTACTGCAATTTCCGAGTTTCAACAACGAATGAAGGAAATGAAAAAGGTTTCAGAAAATATGTGTTTAATTGGTTAGCAAATAAGAGTCCGGATCATTGGTCTAGGTCACACGGTGTGTATCTTAGATGCGACATGCTTCTTAAAAATATGTGTAAGTCTTTCAACAGTTTTATTATGGAAGCGAGAGATAAGCCAATTATTTCCATGTTAGAGAAGATTCAAAACTTTTTTATGGTGAAGATGCAGTTGAATTGGGAGAAAGCTGAAAAATGGGATGATCCACTCTGTCCGAAAATAATGAAAATAATGAAAAAAATATAGAAGTGGCTTCTGAATTCATTCCAATGAGAAATAATATTTGGAATTTTCAGATTATTGGATCTTTTGACCAACATACATTTAATGTGAGGGAAAGAACATGTAGTTGCAAAAAATGGGACTTAATAGGCATCCCATGTAAGCATGCAGTATCCGCAATTTGGTATAGAGGAGAAGATCCATTGACGTATCTCCACAAATGCTATTTTGTGTCTACATACAAAAAGTCTTATGCTTATCCAATCCTACCTTTGAATGGACCTGATTTATGGGGAAAAACAACCAGGGAAGCTTCTATCCCACCGGTTCAAAAGAAAAGTGTTATGAGGCCAATAACCATGAGACACAGGGAACCCAATAAACCCCCTCTAAAATTTAAAAGTCCATATAGACTTAAGGGTGCACCTAGAAAAATCAAGTGCAAAACCTGACAAAGTTTTGGACATAACTACAAAACTTGCCCAAAACGACCTTCTAATAGTAAGCCAGTGGAAAGTGCTCAAAATGAGTATATGAGAGGAGATGTCCAGAACACACGGTGCTTTGTGACATCCTCTCAGCCAATGCCTAGGGAGTTGGAAAATCTCACAAATGTATGCTTCGCAGAACTTATATTCAATTCCATTTCACTTGATAAATTTCCTTTTTTGTTTCAATGTTTACAAGATATTGGTGATGCTCCATCAACAACAAGATCATGCACTAGTCCAAGGAAGAAAATAGCATCAACTCAGGTAACAATGTATTCAACTTACAGTAACTTTCATTTCACAAGTTAATTGTCTGGTCTATTTTTTATGTTTCTAGGCCACCATTATTGCTCGTTCAAAAGCAAAAACCTGCACTAATGCATGGAAAAAGAATGGATTCAATTAAAGTACATTTTGATTTTCATTACATGCAATTTTTATTACAACTCATTGTACTTACTAAACTCTATTTATTTGTAGATGCCTTCGGCGTGCAACACCATTCGCACACATGTTATTGTTAAAGGAGGAAACACATTCATCAGTTTATCCAACCTTCAATCTTGTGTTTCCAATAGAGTAGATGGTGGCAGCACAACAGTTGTGGTACCAATCGAACCAGACATCCAGCCAATATAAAAAACAACAATATGAGGTACCTAAAATGCTAAAAAGAGAACCAATCCAACAAAACAAGATAAACCCACCAAAAAGAAGAAGCAGAGACTTCATGCGCCTAATAAAATTTTACTGACCTTAATTTGCATTTGATCTTGTGAATCAATATGTTTGAAAACTCTTGGGAGTTATGTTTTCATGGGGAATGTGATGGATTGTAAGTGTTTCAATATGATATGCAAGTTGAAATATTTTGGGATCTAGGTGTTGGCATTTGTTTATGTGATGTGCTTTTAAGTAAATTTAATTTTTTCTTGGCAATGAACATAGGTTCATCAGTTGTTGCCTAATTGTGGCTCTGCTTATTTTATATTTTTGCATAGGTTCATTCGTACTCTAATTGTATCATTACACACCTATCATTACACACCACTGACTCCATGCATTGGTGCCTCTATATATAAGCTATTCAATTACACAAAACCTACTCAATCATACACAATTACAGGTTCACTTATACACAAGCTGCTCCAATTGGCTAGTCAAGTTCCATACAAACGAATTGATCACGATCAAACATAAAGAAGTGAAATATATTACTACTACAATATTTCTTCAAACAATAACAAGCAAAGCCAAAGTTCACACACTAGAACAATTCAATCCATTACATTTAACTTGCAACGCCCCTTCCAATAACGACCCAAAGCTAAATTTCAAGCAACAAGTATTACAACAACACAATACACCGGCGCAATACACTAACATTTTAACTGACGATATAACAGCAACAATCCGACACCTGGAACATGCAACGCATTATCATTAATATTACCCTTTGGGAATAGCCAATATGGTAGGTGAGATAGTGTTGACTATTGCCATAAACCCGAACACTAGAAAAATGAGCGTAATAACCCCCATGTTAAGTAATATTAAACCGCTATGTTGTTTAACATAGCCAACATGCACTGGCTGAGGTTTGTTGTTCTGACGTTTCATCCTTTTAACTTCTTCCTCCAATATATATAGTTTCTTCATCCATTAGTTTTCTTGCACTTCAACTTCAACACCATCGTTGTCCACGTCGATAACATTCTTTCATTTCTGAATATTGTCAAGCCATTGACTTTTAGACAACAATGCATTGACCACTTTCTTATATCTATCAATGGATTTCTCATCCCACCATTCAAACATACCACTAATTTCCACCTTTCTATAAAATTAAAATCCATCAAATATTTATATGTGAAGAACAAAAATATTAATTATTATTTTTTTAAAAAAAAAAATCACAAATGAAATTACCGCATAGTTAAGACAAGCTTTGTATTTCTTATCCGGATTGCTTGTATTAGCATGTTAAAGATATATAACGCCTTAGTTTATTTGTGTTTCTCTTAAAATTCAAAAAGCCAAATGTGTTTAACATAGATTTAGAAGTTGAATTTTAAGTTTGAGAATATTATTAAAAATTTGAATAGAAACGATTTCAACGTAATTTCTTAATGAGAAATCAAATTTTAATTTAAAGTAAAAAATAAATATCAAACAACCCCAAAGACTTTGTGGGTTATGAGGACCACATGCTACACATAAAGTTGTCGGCTTCCTTTTTCCTTCTTCTCAGCAAACTCTTCCAAAATATCTAATAATAGATCTGAACCAGTTGTTAATTCATGTAGCCCTGCTCTTCATCTGTGATCTTCAGGATTATCCTGTATGTTTCAATAGATCTTAAGTGGCTGCCTCTACAATTTCTTAATTAATCGCAATTCAAGGGTCTCCAGAAACATGGCTGTTGCAGCTTATGCATCCTTGGTTTCTCTTACCAACATCCTCGAAAATCTCCATTATCGTGCCCAGTTTAATCTCCCTCGTGCAGACATGAAACAAGTCGAAAAGCTCCAAGAAAATGTCCAATTCTTGTTGAAATTTGTTGAGCTTCATTCGGAAAGGGTGATTCCTGATGAGCTGCAAGGCTTGTGGAGGCAAATGGCTAAGGCTGCCTTTGAAGCAGAAGATACCATCAACTTCCATGTAGTCAATTTACTCCATTTGAGACATCAAGAAGAAACAACTGATGCAGCTTTCTCAGATTTCTGTGAAGATATGGAGGGACTGATCCAAAACCTTTGTACCACCAAAAAATCGTTGCCGATGATGGAGGAAATAAGGCAGGATGATCGAGTTCAAGAACAATCCAGTGCTAGTGCTTCAGTTTCGATTGTTGGTTCATCGGATGCTTCGGAACATGCCAGCAATGTTGTGGTGGGAATTGATAAGCATGTGAGTAGGATCAGGGACAAGCTCATAAGAGGTAAATCGAACATCCAAATCATCCCGGTTGTTGGTATGGGAGGGATCGGTAAGACTACTTTGGCTAAATGTGCCTTTGATGATTCTTTTGTTGTTGACCACTTCGATTTACGAATATGGTTTTCAATATCTCAAGAATATAGTGTGGAGCAGATCCTTAGAATTGGTCTTCAAGAAAAGGTTGAATATGGACATAAACGTGAAAGTTTAGATGAGTTGGGAAATAAATTCTACCAAAAGTTATTTGGTAGAAGGTATTTGATTGTTATGGATGACATGTGGGGCAGTGGTGCTTGGGATGAGCTAAGAAAGTTTTTTCCGGACAATGAGAATGGAAGTCGAATTATGTTTACTACTAGACTCAAAGACTTAGCAACTTCTCTGGGCTCTTGCGATCCTTACCCGCTTACATTTCTTGATGAGCATACGAGTTGGGAATTATTTTGCCAAAATGCCTTTTCACAAATAGGTTGTCCTTACGACGATTTAGAGAATCTTGCAAAAGATATTGCCAAAAGTTGTAGAGGGCTTCCTTTAGCGATTGTAGTTATTGGTCGATTACTTGCAAAGTCCGACAAGAATGCAAAATATTGGGAGAATATCACAAAGAACATCAGCTCACTAGCTAGTATGGGAGATGATGAGCATTGTTTTAAAATATTATCTTTGAGTTATAGAAGCTTGCCCATCCATTTGAAGCCATGTTTTTTATATATGCGTTTTTTCCCCGAAGATGATCGGATTGATGTAAACAATCTAATCAAATTGTGGATTGCTGAGGGATTCATAAAACCGACAAGTCAAAAAAGTCTGGAAGATATTGCAAGTGAATACGTGAAAGGTCTCCTTGATAGAAACCTGATATTCATAAGGAGTATCGAGAAATGTGGTGTTCATGACCTTTTACGAGATCTTTGTTTAACAGAGTCTGCAAGTGAAAATTTCATTCGATCACCAAAAGTACAACGTATCAGATCACACTATCATACTGACGCTTGCTGCTTCATTTGTAGTGAAGAAATAAATGGCGCAGTTGCTGAAAAATTGTTGAAAACTTTTCATGTTTTCTCGCAATGGTCGGAGTTTAATCCTCTTTATTGCGATGCTTGTAAGCCGGCATATTCACATATTGCAAGACCAAGATTGGTGAGGCTGATGGGTGACTTAATCAATGGTGTTTACCACAGAGAAATCTTGCTACCTACAGAAGTGCACTATGCTACAATCTGCTATTTTTTTGGCAAGAAATTGATCTCGCCGAGGTCGCAGCACTTGCTTTGGAATCTTCAAACTCTAATAATTGGAGTTATTACTGGTCGAACAATCTTACCACCGGAGATTTGGGAAATGCCGCAACTTAGGCATCTTATATGCAAGCCTAGTGGTTATTTACCAGATCCTACAGCTACAGCTACTGCTAGTCATAATATTCCGATCCTGAAAAACCTTCAGATCCTATCCGCTGGATTTGCATTCAAATGTACCGACAACATCCTTGCTCGAATCCCAAATGTGAAGGATCTAGAGATTGATTACTTTGAAGGTGAGTCATTTGATCTGAGGCAGCTGCAAGAACTTGAATCATTGTGTGTGTGGAGTTTGCATAAAATCCGAGCGATTCCTAATTCGCTTAAGCGGCTGTCTTTGGATGTTACAAGACCGGAAGATATGCCAATTATTGGTTCATTGCCGCGCCTGGAAAGTTTAAAGATTGGTTATAGCTACCATGTGACTAACTGGAACCCAGTGGAAGGCGAATTTCTTCACTTGAAAGAACTGTATATCAGCCATGCCTATGGACTAGTCTGCTGGAGCGCTGATCAGAGCCATTTCCCGATTCTTGAACGGCTAAAGATGAAAACATTTCCATTGTTGGAAGAGATCCCTTGGGGCATCGGAGACATACCAACACTAGAATCGATTATGCTCGAGGAATGCAATGACTCTCTCATCCATTCGGCGAAGGAAATGTGGGAGGAACAACAGAGCATGGGAAACGATAGCCTTCGAGTTTATGTTATGGATGGAAAAGGAAAGGGATATCAAATGGTTGATGATAACTCAAAACCACAAGGTAATTATAAATTATGAAAACTCACCTTTTCTAATTTTTTTCTTTTTTTTCTTGATTGTTCTGAGTAACATTTCTTTTGTGTGTGGCATATGGAGAAGCAGAGTTTGATGAGACTGAAGTAACGGTGCCCTTTTTCAAGAAAAAAGATCGAGTACAAGCATTGGATGAGTTATGAGGAATTATGGAGAAAATTGCAAATATTTATACCCTATTATTACTTTTGTTCTTTTGTTCTTTTGTCCTTAATTTATCTACCTGGCAAAATGTTTACAAAATTCGTTATTTTTGTCCTTTGCCGCGCATGACATTCATACCACGCGGCCACACACGGCCAAATGATAGAAATAGCGACTTTTGCAAACATGTGGATATATTTTGCGAGCGAGATAAATACATGACAAAAGTGATAATAAGATATACGTGTGGATAGTTTTTGCAATTTTCCCAAGAATTATGGGATACTCGAATATATATAGCCGTGTAATAACTGTGGTCATTTATAATTATACACTAAAATATACATGATCATGTAACAACATGGCCGTGTATAATTGTACATGACCGTGTACTTTCCAGGTCAACTGCCACGTCACCTTCGTCATGTCCACGTCAGCAATTTCCGTTAGTTTTTTAACGATAAGACCAAAATTGATAAAAATTGTTTATAATAGGACCAAAATTGATTTGAATTGTGTATATTGCGACCAAAATTGATGAGTTTTTTATATTGGGGCCAAAATTGATAAATTTTGGTTATATTGTTACTAAAATTGATGAATTTTTTATATTGGAAACAAAATTGATTAATTTTGATTATATTGTGACCAAAATTGATTTTTTCTCATATTTTTATTATGCTAATTATTGTTTTAATATATATAAATAAATTAATAACCTTTGTTTTTTCTATTTGATTTAGTTTTAAAAATTTATATATTTTACAAATAAAATAATTTATATGTAATAATTAATAATAGTAATTATTTTAAATTTACAAAAATAAAAATATAATTTAATAAATTAAATATAACAAAAATAATTAATAAATACTGCTATAAAAATATATTTATATGTATAAAATAAATAATTAAGTTTTAAAGGTAAATAAAAAATAACCAAAATTAAAATGAAAAAGCTCGTTCAAAACGCTGAGTAGATTAATTTTTCAAAAATTAGTTTTTTCGATCCAAAAAATTCTTTCAAAAAACTAATTTATCAAACACCTAAATTAATTTTTGACTGATAAAACAGCTAAAACCTGTTCAATAAGCTAAAAGTTGTTAAAAAACTGTTTCCCTCGTAGTGTTACATCATATTTTACTCCCAACGTTGAAAATGAAAATAAATTATTGTATGTACGAATACAAGTCATCAGCTTGTTTGACTATGCATGTTTCAAAAGATAGATCTTTTAAGTGCATCAGGTACCTCAAGCGGCGGTAAAGAGAAACTCCCCAAAGCACAACAAAAATTCGTTGTCTCACGGTACAAAAAAGAGTGCTCCACAGAGTAAGCAGGGAGGTGCCACGGGGGCTATCATGGAGTTGTAGTCACAGTATTTAAGAGAATAGATGATCAGTGATACCCCGAAAAAGTGGCATGTGTTTTTGCCACAAGCTTTGTGGACACATCGGAACAGTTGGAATTCAGAAAGCCGCTGACCAATTTCTTGACGCTAAAAATGTCTTCTAAGGGCATCTTCAACGCATCGTCTCCATTTATTCAGTTTTCATTTATTCAATTTTAACTCCAAATATGCAGTTGTTTCAGTAATTTTACTTCAACCATAACTTTATTTTTTTACTATTATCTTCAAATGTTCAATTTTTTCTATTATTTTAAACAACTTTTTATTTTTATAATTTAAAATAAAAATTAAAAAATAAAAATTAAATTATTATTTAAAAAAAAATTAAAAAAAAAAAAAAAAGTGTTTGCTACAATATGGTGTTGCACTGTAGCAAACTCTAAATTTGGTGCTGGGAATGGAGCTGAATTGGAACAACTCGGCAGCAAAAATGGTATTGAAAGACCAGATATGGAGCATGGTTGGTGATGCTCCAACACTTTGTAAATTTCTTTTACACGGCGTTGTTCAGATGAGCATTAAAAGAACATAGATGAGAAGTTACTACTTTGTAAGTTTCTTTTACACTTTGTTTCATGTTTGGTTATGACATTTCAACAACGGAAATCTTCAAGCAGATGACAAGTTCAATGATAAAGCTAAGACAATATAAAACATTACAAAGAAAATTAAAGGTAGGATGAAAATTTTAGATAATGCAAAAAGTACGTTCCAATGTTAAGATTCTGATCAAAATCGGCCGAGGAAGTATTAGTTTTTATATTTGTTAATAGATTGTTTAGAACACTACCAGAAATATCAGATTTTTCCACGGAAAATTGGTTCGAAAATGAAATAAATCCGAACCTATTTTTCATTAGTCTTCACATGGTCTCCGATTCGGTCCGTGACTGATTTTTTGCGGTTGTTTGTGATGTCTCAGAATTCCGAGACTAATTTGGATAGTCTCAGAATTTGCTTCAGAAACTTTGACACAAGATAACTTCGGAAATTCCAAACTTATACAAATTAGTTTCGGAAATTCTGAGCAAATTTTAATTTTCTTTCTAAAAAATTTATATATTATCCCATTCGCTTCGGAAAATTCCAAAGCAAATTTTAATTTTTTTTAAAAGAAATAAATAAATAAATATTGTTTTTAATAGATAAATACATTTTAAAAATAAAAAATAAAAAAATAAATGCCATTGCCTGCCCCACCGCCCGCCGCCGCCACCGATGCCGGAGAAGATTTCAAAAGTGCCGCCACCTGCATCTTCCGCCGCGGCTTGCTGCCACTGCTTCCACGGCGCCGGAGAAGAAAAGAAAAACAAAGGCACGTGCGGGCCTCCGCCTGCCGCCGCGCCGGAGAAGATAAAATGGAATGAGGAGGTCAGGCCTCTGCCTCTTCCGCCGCCTGTCGCCGGTGCTTTCGTGTCGCCGGAGAAAAAGAGAAAGAAATTAGAGGTCCTGCCGCCCCGCCGCTGATGCCGGTGGGCCGGAGAAGAAGCCGCCGCCTGCCTCCACTACCACCACCTACTGGAGAAGAAGAAAGAGAAAGATGAGGGCGGGCGCTGCCGCAGTCGACGTCCCCGCCATTGCCGTCGTCGTAGCCGCCGTTGCCGTTGCTGTCGTCCTCGCCGCCACTGCCGCCGAGTAGTAGGTGGAGGAGGAAAAAATGAGAGAATATTGTGGAAGATGAAGAAGGAGGAATTGATGAAGAAGGAAAACAATGAGAGAATATTGTGGAAGACAAAGCGGGAGGAAAAATTAATGGAGGAGTAAATAAATGAGGAATTTAATGTTGGATGGTAGGTGGTGGTGAATGGTAGGTGGCAGGTGATTAAAGTTCGAAATTAATATATGATTTTTTTACAAAAATTGAGAAAAGTACTTTAGGTTGAAAATTTATATTTGAATTTTTTTATTGTTTATTAAGTTTTTAATATTTTTAAAGAAAAATTTTAATTTTGAAATTTTTAAAAAACTAGGGTGATGTAGTTTCATTGGAAAATTTTATATTTGAATTTTTTTAGAGTTTTTTAAATTTTGAATTTTATTTTTAAGAAAAAAATTTAATATTGAAATTTTTTAAAAATCATTTTTTCTATCATTCAATATTATAATTATCAATTTTGGTCATATTGAAATATTTTTTTATAAATTTTGATTAAATTCAAATAAAAATTTATCAATTTTAGTCTACGATGGTGGACTGGAACTAAACATAACCGTGTTGACTTGAACACAGCCATGTTGAATGACTCAGAAGGGGTGACTGGGCGCCCCAGATAGCCAACACAGCCATATTGGGCTCAACATGGCCATATTGATCACCTTGCACTGAACATCGCCGTGCTCATGCTCCTGTTCACGATCATGTTCTGAATACGGTCGTGTTCCTACCCGTGTTCATGCTCGTATTCTGAATACAACCATATTTCTGTCTATCTTCATGATTATGTTCTCAATACAACCATGTTTTAGGCCACGTTCACGACCTTGTTTTCAACAGAGTCATGTTGTACGCTGTGTTCACAATCATGTTTTCAATATAGTGATATTGTAAGTCATATTTATTATTATTTTTACTTCTTTGTTAAAATTACTTTATATATATTTGTAATTCTAACAAAAATATTTTTTTCAATTATATTTTAAAATATTAAAAATTGATTTTTTTATATTATGAAATAAATGTAAAAAAATTACAAAAATAATAATATATTTATATATTTTTAATAATCATAATTATAAATACTAAAACTTGAATAGTAAAAAATATGTTCGTAGGTTTTAGTTTTTGGATTTGGATTTTGGAATAGTTGTTTGATGTAATATAAATAGAGTTTGATAGTTTTTGGATTTGAATTTTGGAATAGTTGTTTGATGTAATATAAATAGAGTTTGATAGTTTTTGGATTTGGATTTTGGAATTGTTGTTTGATGTAATATAAATAGAGTTTGATAGTTTTTGGATTTGGATTTTGGAATAGTTGTTTGATGTAATATAAATAGAGTTTGATGTAATATTTTGAATGTAAAATAAATTTATAGTATAATATAAAAAAATAATAATTGTTTGATGTGATATTTAAAAAAAAAAGAATTTGAATAATAAAAACATGTGGTAAATCTCACAAAAGAATACATCCTAAATATACATAAATAAAAATTTTAAATATAACCCGTTAAAAAACAAACAATAAAATCAAATTCATAGGGTTATTCATTCAACAATTCTTATCTTTCATATTCAAACATATAATTATATATATAATCATTTTCAATATTAACTATAACATAATTATTACTTTATTTAGCTCCCATAAAAAATATACTAACAAAATATTACTTGCTATTCAAAATAGTAATTAAATTTAAAGTCATATGAAAAATCTTAAACCAAATAAAATAAATAATATAAACCAATGACATTATAAATATTGTATTTGATCAATTAGTATTGCTGTTATTTATTAACTTTAGTTTTGAAAATGCAAGTACACAAATTAAAAAAATTGATAGTTGTTACGTATGAAATTTATAATTAGGTTAAAAAGCCCAAGGTAAAAGAAAAAATGGGCCTGGCAATAAAGTTGATTGAACTGGCTGAAGGACACCGTGGGGAACTCAAGGAAAATAGGTTTATTTCTAAGGAAAATACAGGTCGGGAGGTCCTCAGGACGGAAAGTCCTCAGGTCGGGAGGTCCTC